GGCAAATTTCCTACATTTGAATGTGAACAAGACTGAAACCCTCCTGATTGGCTCGCGCCAGCGCCTCAACACCTCAGGCTCTGGCAACATCAACCTCCAGGGTTGCACACTACAACTCACCGCCAGTCAGGAACCTCGGTGTCTTGTTCGACCCTCAACTGTCTTTTTTCCCCCACATTCAAGCCATGAATGTGAAAGCTCTGCCTTCTCTCACTTCCGTAACATCGCCCGACTCCGCCACTACCTCACCCCTCAGGCCGCTGAAACTCTTGTTCATGCCTTCATCACCTCCAGGCTCGACTATGCAAACGCCCTGCTTGTCGGCCTTCCCAACTCCCCCCTCCAGTTCAAGATCCTGGTCCTCACATACAAAGCCTTCCATAGCCTCACCCCACCCTACTTCTGCAACCTAACCCCCTACCAACCAGTCCGTTCCCTCCACTCAGCCGGCTCTGGCCTGCTCCACGTCCCCTGACCCACCCGTCCCACCATTGGCGGGAGAGCCTTCAACCACTCTGCCCCCAACCTCTGGAATTCCATCCCCCAGTCACTCAGCCTCGTCCCCTCATCAGCCTCCTTCAAGTCCTGCCTCAAGACTCTCCTTCGACCGTGCCATCGGCCACCCCCCTTCCCCTCCCCTCCCTTGCCCTCCCAACTCCATCTTGGCTTCTGAAATGCTGTACTCTGTCCAGCGCCTTGGGACATCCTCCCGACATGAAAGGCGCTATACAAATGTAATCTTGTTGTTCCTATCAAGCATCAAATATGCTACCCCGCATGTACTTCTTCCACCCTGAATCCTCACTGTGTTGAAATCAAAGCTCATTATAATATTCTGTTCTATTCTAATTCATTCTTTCCCATGACCACTGGATAAGGAATACATCATCTTTCTTAGTCTTCCTTTGCTCCATCAAAACATTATCTGCTATTCTACACAAGATTGTTTTGGATGAAGAAGCCCCTTTGGCGCAACCAATTTCATTCTTCTAGGACACTCACATTTTCCCATCACAGCATCAAACTGCTTTTTAAAATTAACCCAGTGTCATGGCATCAATCACCTTTCCCAGCAGTTGGTGTCAGTCATTGATTACCTTCTGAGTAAATAAAATCTTCCTGGTATCTATCCTGAAATTGTCCTTTGCAACTCTAAACCTATGTCCTCTGTTGACTTGTTGCATGCTAGAGTACTGATCTGTATTTACTTTTTCAATCCTATGTCAAATTTTCTACACCTCTTTGAAGTCCCTTCTGACCCATCACTGAAAACCATTTGGAAGTTACCTCCGCAGAATGATTTAAACTGTAATGACATATTAATTATAATCCTTACATTTGATATAGCTCCTACCATGTCGTTGAAATGTCTCAATGCGCTTCACGAGATACACTGTAAAGTGGATTGACTTTGTGGGCGGAACCCAGCAGCAAGCTGCACACAAAAATGTCTGGATTTTTAACCTTTACCTAATCAGGCAGTTGGGAACTCAGTTTAATGTCTTATCTGAAGGACGGTAACTCCAACATTGCAGCATTTCCCTTGTACTGCATTGGAGTGTCAGCCTAGACAATGAATATTCAAAGTCCCCAACATTGAACTTGAATTCACAACCTTTTGACTCAGATGAGAGTGCTGCCAACTGAGCCAGGCTGACACCTAAGCTTCTACAACAATAACTTGCATTTCTATAGTTTGCTTCATGCATGTGGAGTCCAGTAGCTCAGTGGTTAGAGCACTCGCTTCGCAAGCAAGGGACCTGGGTTCAATTCCCGGCAGGGTGAAACCCTGGGCAAGTTTCCTTACTCCACATGCCTGATAATAATCCCTCAAAAAAAAATTGGTCATTTCAATCCATGACTGTTTGTGGCATACTGGTGTGTGCAATTGGCTGCCGCTTTTTGCCCACAAATATACAGTCAATTCACTTTTCAGTATATTCTGTGAAGCGCTTTGAGACATCTAGAAGACGTGAAAAACGCAATATCAAATGTAAAGATTATTATTATATGCAAGATAGCGTTTAGAAGCAATTGCTAGTTAATTGCTGGGAGGACTTATTAAGTAACTGCATGCTGTTGAACTTGTGTGTCTTTCCTTAATGGATGTTCCTAATCCTCTCCTCTTTCCCTCTTGGATATCCTAATGCCAATTATCCGTGATTTTTGATATGTACCAAGATTCAACAAGTTTTATTTTTTCTGAGCTAGTCCCTTTCTTGCCAAAATCAGAAGGTTTATTAAACTCCCTTGCTTAAAATCAAAGCAAGAAGAGAAAAAGACAACGGAGACTTGTGCAACAAGTGAATTGGTACTAAACAAATAAACTACTAAGGTTTTGTTTTTCAAAACATTACTGCTTGATCCATAAACTGGGAGCATGAGTTTTTTGATGCTAGAGTACACCAAACTGATTTAGGGAAAATGTCCTACTTACTGTAGGTAGAGCCTTCCTCATTGTAATTGACAGATCCTTTGCCAGCTGTTTCTACATGTTAAAAACTAAAGATCTGCTCAGAAGGAGCCTGCAAGTCAGAAGAACCGAGGTAAAATTCAATTGAGCTGTTGTGAAAATGTAAAGCAATAGTAACACAGTGATATTATCTTGTCAGATGAAGAACATTTCTGTTTGTAAATTGAGATTGAACTTCAAAGAATTAGGAAGACGCCATATGGTAAATGATCCACCATTTTTGAGGCATGATTAATGTTTTGGAAGCATAGCTAATAAATTATGCTTGTTCAGAAAATGTTCTCAGGCATTTGATTTTAAATTTTTTAAAAAAAATTCTAAGATTGGTTTGCTCATGTCAGTACTACTATGATTTCTTCTCATTCTATATCCACAAACTTTGTGTCAGCCTGACTCAATGGTAGCACCCTGAGTCAGAAGGTTGTGGTTCAAGCCCCACATCAGGACTTGGAATCACATTATCTAAGATGAGATGTTTCTCCCGGTGTCCTGGCCAACAATCTCCCCAATAAAATTTGTCACACACTCCATAGCTGTTTCCGGAACATTGCTGTGCGCAACTGGTTGCCACGTTTTGCCCACAAAATACAGTCAAACCACTGTATAGTATATCTGCGTGAAGGGCGCTATATAAATGCAAGTTGTTTTGAGACCTCTCGATGACTTGATAGGGCGCTTTTTCAACTTCCCTCAGGTTGGGACCTACATGGATTAGGGCTCTCCACTCACACTCTGGCAAGTCTTGGCTCTTGCTAACCTGTGTCCAATACTCTCTGGAATTAGGTAAGCAGAGTGTGTCCTTCCAGGGAGAAAGTGTGCATTCCATTCCAGACATAAGTACATCGTAGGTGGATATTGTTAAGCATGGTGATGGGTTTCCGCAAGTGTCAGACAGTTGGCTGACCAAAGAAAACTTACATCAGAACCTACAGAATTCCATTTAGTTTTTACAAAATTACAAAAACACATCCTTTTTTCAATGGAGAAAAAAACATCAGCACGCTTGGATTGTGTCGTAAATGCTGAATAAGCCAAATTCCCTGTTGGTTTTCTGTTTGAGAGGGGTGTAGGGAAGGGAGAAGAAATAAATTAAGGTCAGGAACAGAAAAGTATTATTTCTACTTTTTTCTCTTTGACCTTAACTAACTGTTGGGAATGTTGTGTTAAATACCAGAGTTAATAGTAAGTAACCTGGCATTAATGTATCTCATGATCACGAGTGCCCTCAACTATGTCAGTATGTTGTAAGTTAGACTCTTGCCTGTCTGAGTTTAACTTGCTGGAAAGTAGATTAACATAAATTCCCAGTGGATGTCAGTTTATAAGACTTACCGGAACTCATTTCAGTTATTACTCTTATTAAACTCAACAGTTATCATCGAATTGATTCCCTTGTCCTGGGGCAATGATTAAAAATCGGGGTCTCTAGAGGGGCTTGGCAGTGTCTTAAACCATTTACAGTAGAGTTGGTGCTCTGCTGTATTAATAATGCAATGTTTCTGTGTCCTTTGTTACAGCTTCCCTTCTGTTGTTTACAGATTGTTGGTTTGCATGTGTATTGTCCTCTTCAAAATATGTGTTTGCATTATCTAAATGTAAATGCTGAGGGTGATGTGCTTAAAGGTTCTTCATTAGGAATAACAGATAATTGATTTCATATATTATTGCACCTTACCGTAAGCTAGGATTTTCTCTGGGGATTGACTCTTGATTTTTGTGTGCTACAGCTTGCATACACACATTATTTAAGTGTGCATTCTAGCTTATATACTGTATTTGTACAGTGAAGAACTAAGTTCAGTACATTACGATTTTAATGTGGCACAAATTTTTGTGCTGAATCCTATATTGATGTTTAGCCTCGTTAACCCAATTTAGGTTTAGGCCTAATTGCGATGGTTGCAAGGGAGTGGAATGTTTTGCATCTTTGTACTTTATGGTCAGTATCAGGCATTACCAAGGTATAAGCACAGATCATACACAAGTAGTTGTTTTTACTCTGCGCTAGTATAATAGCAATAATCCTTACATTTGATATAGCACCCTTCACATTGCGATGAAGCCCCAAAGTACTTCACAAGATGTAGTGTAAAGTGGTGTAACTATGTGTTTTGTGGGTAAATGGAGCAACCAAGTTGCATACAGCAATGTCCCACAAACAACCATGAAGTGAATGACGAATTTCATTGAGGGATTGTTACCTAGGCCAGTGTAACCCTTTAAACAATGACTCTCTAAGTAAGACTTGTCATAAATTCAAAGTGTTTTTTGCTATGGGACTCGATTCAACTGGAAAATGGATATTGGGCATTTTATATTTTAAAGCAAGGGAACACAATGCAAGCCATGGGTGCTGTAGAAAATATCTGTAATTCAGGGCTAATTCCACAGCAGCCAAGAAATAACAAAACAGTTCTATATGTGTCAATTTATACTTGCACAATTCTGTTATAACTTCTCCTGTTATACCTAAAATCATAATGTATTCCCCAGTAGACAGCGAAGGCCTGTCCAGAGCTGCACTTGCTTGGGTCCTGATTGAAGCCATGTAAGGTTTGACTTTACCAAATGTGGCCAAAACAGAAGACAAAAGGAAACATTTCTATTGACGGTCACTGTTCAGTTTAATCATGTATCTGATTATTATAATAATAATCCTTGCATTCGATATAGCCTGATCACGTCTTCGAGACATCTCAAAACGCTTCACAGAATATAATGTAAAGTGAATTGACTGTATATTTTGTGGGCAAAACAGGGCAGCCAATTGTGCACAGCAGTGTGTCCCACGAACAGTAGTGGATTGAGTGACCAATTTATTTTTTAAGGAATTATTACCCCAGGAAAAGCGATTCGCCAATTGACTTAACAACTATCTGCTAATCGGCCGGGTTCCTACTTACTGCTAGGTAAGCAGAGGCATGTGGAGTAACAAAACTTGCCCAACGTTTCACCCTGCTCAAACTCGGGTCCTCCTCTCACTTGCGAGGCGAATGTTCTAACCACTAACCTACAGGACTTCATAATGAGTTTAGTGATTTGGGAAGTTGATTGGGGAGGTGGGAATAGAAATGTCAGGTTTAACATACTACAAATAAACAATTTATATTACGTTCATGTGATTGGTACAAATTTACATATATACATATGTATATGATGCTTAAAATATAAAAACATGTTCTGGGGACTGATATGAGTCCTTTCTACCCAATTTATCTGTGCTAATTCCTTTCTCATCACTATGAAAGTTGTCCTTTTCCAGTTGGGTATTTTTGTCTTTGATTGTTCCTCTTATTTTTCAATTTTTTCATTAAATCTAATAATGATGTGGTCACTCTTTCCTGGATCCTCCCCAACCCTCGCATTACCTCACATCCATCTAGTTCTTTCCCTGCCCCCCTCCCCCCTCTGTGCCACCTCTAGACCCCCCAATTCCATGCAAGTGGGCTGATGACGCCCCACTAACCACCTGCTACAAGTCTCGGCGTGTGCAACTTGGCTGCCGCCCCTGACCTCAGCTGTCCTTCCCCATAAATGCCCTCATCCCTGCAACTTTCCCGCTCTGTCCTCTCTCTCTGTCCTCCTCACCTCCTATCCCCACTTGACCATCCCATAGCCTCCCTCTGCTCCAGCCTGGGAATTCTCCATTGGGCTCACCGTGGCAGTCGGCATTGGCTGTCCAGCAGCAGCCACACTGACTGCCCCATTCCCCACTATCACTGCCAGAACCAGACCCCGGGGCCAACCTCTCCTCATGCCTATTCCCATGCTTCCTGCCAATCAGTCCATCACACCCTCCCCATCTCACACATTCCCCTGGCAACTGCCCCTCTGCAAATGTCCACTCCTTCTGCAACAAGGCTTTGACCATCAGTGACCTCATTGTTGATGAAAATATCGAAATCATGGCCCTCATTGAAACTTGGATCTCCCCAGGCGACACCTTCCCCCTCACTGAGGCCACACCACCCAGCTATACCTCCCACCATACCCCATGTCCCAACCGCTGTGTTGGTGGTTTGGCCCTCATCTCCAGGACCTCACTTGCTCTATTCACTTACTCCTCTGGCTCATTCCCCTCATTCAAGCACCTTACACTCTACCATCCCTCCAATCTTTCCCTCAAAATTCTCCTTGTTTACTGTGCACCTCCCCCAAATCCTCCCCCACCTTCATCTCTGATGTCTTCACCCTCCTAGCTTCCCCTTGCCTCTGTTCCGAACCCCTCCTCATCCTCGGCGACTTCAACCTTCACTTTACCCCTTCCTGATCTATCTCCTTGGATTTCTCCCTCCTTTCGTCTCACAACCTCTTCCTCCACATCCACTCTGCCACCCACGTTCGTGGCCACCCACTCGACCTGGTGATTACCCAAGGCCTCAGTGTCTTGGACCTCACAATCACAGACAAAGCCATCTCCGATTACCATTTCATCTCCTTTAACTTCTCATCCCCACCGCCACCAAACCCACCTCCATCTCCTACCGCCCCTGGAAAAAAATCTCCCCGCAATCCCTCTCCACTGCCCTGGAGTCATCTGAACTCCTCCCCCTCTGGCCTATCTCCTGCACTGATTTATCCTCCTCGCTCCACTCTCCTCCACAACTCCCTCTCCACCAATCTCGATACCCTTGCCTCCCTTGCCTCCTGAACCGACTCCTACTCACAAACCTCACCCTGGTACACCAGCCACCTCCGCTTCCTCAAGGGTCAGGTGCAAACGCACCGAGCTCAAGTTTGACCTAACGGTTCATCGGCAGATCTGGCTGGACCACATCAAAATGTACAACTCTTGCCTCTGCCAAATCATCCTTCTACTCCAAATTAATCTTGGAGGCGAAGGACAACCCCAGGCTCCTATTCTCCACCACCAACCGGCTTCTTCATCCACCCTCCCACGCCTCGCCCATTCTCTCCTTAAGCTCCTGACTGTGAGGAGATGCTGGATTTCCTTCAAGTCCAAAATCGAGGAGATCAGTTAGTTTGCCTCCGCCCTCCCAACCGCCACTCCCTCCCCATCTCCTCCCCCCCCGCCCACACTTTGACATTTACCCATCCCTCCCTCCATATTTTCGAACCTGTCTCCCCCTCCTCTCATCACCACAATATCCAGCATGAAACACAGCACCTGGTCCCTTGACCCCATCCCCTCCCCTCTCCTTACCTCCCAGCACCGCCGCCTCGCCCCTCTACTCTCCGACACCATCAATCTCTCCCTTTCATCTGGCACCGTTCCCATCCCCCTAAAAACAGCTAAAACCACCCCCATCCTGAAAAAAATCTTCCCTAGACACATCCCTGCCTTCTAACTACCGGCCCATCTCCAACCTCCCTTTTCTTTTGAAGGTCCTTCAAAGAGTCGTTGCTTCCCAGCTTCGCTCATTCCTCTCCTACCACTCCCTTCACAAGCCCCTCCAATCGGATTTCCATGCTGCTCACAGCACAGAAACTAGTCTGGTCAAGGTGACAAGCAACATTTTGTCCATCTGTGACTAGGGCTCCCTCTACCTCCTCGTCCTCCTCGACCTTTCTGCAGCCTTCGAAACCATGGACCACTCCATCCTCCTCCACTGCCTCTCCTCTCACCTCAATGGCGCCTCCAATTTGTCTCCGCTAATGGTTTCCCTTCCAGCCCATGCACAATCTTGTGCGGTGTTCCTGAGGGCTCTGTCCTTGGTCCCCTCCACTTCAATCTCTATATGTTCCCCCTTGGTGACATCATCCGCAGACATGGGGTCAACTTCCACATGTATGCGGATGACACCCAACTCTATCTCTCTGCCTCCACTCTCGACTCCAGGACAACTGAAGTCCTGGCAGACTCTTTGTTTGACATCCAAGTCCTGGATGAGAGCCAACTTTCTGCAGCAAGACTGAGGCCTTCCTGACTGCCTCGCACCAGCGCCTCAGCACCTTAGGCACTGGCAGCATCAGCATCCACAAATTCACACTGCACCTCACCAAGCCAGTCAGGAACCTGGGTGTCTTGTTCGACCCTCGACTGTTCTTTTTCCCCCATATCAGTGCCATGACCCCCTCTGCCTTCCCCCACCTCCGCAACATTGCCCGTTTCCGCCACAGCCTCACCCCTCAGGCCACCGAAACCCTCATACAGGCATTCGTCACCTCAAGACTTGACTACAGAAACTCCCTCCTTGTCGGCCTCCCCAACTCTTCCCTCCACAAGCTGCGGATCATCCAGAACTCTGCAGCTCGTGTCCTCTCCTGCACCAGGCTATCCAGCTTGTCAGATCCTTTGTTTACTTTGAATACCTCAATCAGATCATTCTAAACCTTAATTTTTTTTGTCAGCCGAGTGCCTAACGGAAACCCAATAACAACAACTTGCATTTATATAGGTCCCTTCACACATCATCATGTTTAAGAATATCCAAACCAAACTGAGTTCCACACATCCCACCTAAACTTGGAAATTCCAGAGATGTTTATTGGAATGGAATGTGCAGTCTCCCTGGAGGGATACTTTCTGCTTACCTAATTCTGGAAAGTATTAGGCACAGGTTGGCAAGAGCCAATGATTGGGACCCCAGAATGTGCAATGGGGTACTGCTGGAGTTTAACCAGCTAAGATTGTATAACTTGCCATTGAGAGCATTGCCCTGGGAAGCTTTTCCGCTACTAACACCACCCTACCTTTAGGCGTTTTGTCTTGTAGGCTTAATGGGAGCTGAATGGGAAGAGTCCCTGCTCCCAGTGAAGGTCTGCCCTTCCAAATTCTGCTGACAATCCAGTCTGGCTGTGCTGTCAGGAGGAGATTTAATTATCATGCAGTATCTGTAAATGATAAGAATTACCTAGGAAATCATAGAATCTAGATCCAATTCTCGAAACTGGTGATATTATGTGCCAGTTGGAACTGCTTCAGGTTGGTTTGAACATTTGTGATTTCTTTACCGAAAATTATAAGAAAAATCTATGAGTGTTGTCACCCAGCTACAATAAAATGCTCATCACATACAAACTTTAACAATGGCCCGAATAAATGCATTTGAAGTGCAATTCCATTGATTGTAGTTGTAGTTTCTAACTGGTCTTAGAGAAGAACTATAAGCAAGTCGAAGAACTAATTTGTAGCAAGGTTATTCTGCATCAATAACATTAATAAAAAAAAGAGAATGTTAACAGGTGTAACACATAAATCCTTCTCAAACATTTGGTTCATTTTATGTTTCATTGGTGCAGTGTTCACATTACAAAAGCTGCTGTGTCTGCATTGGATCCAAACCTTGATATGACAGGAAGTCACAAATAGCAGTGCCTATTGATAATTAGATGCGTGTTATGCTGAACAAGGGAAATACTTCTTCAACAATCTCGCTCTGGTCACATTGCAGCGAAGTTCCTGCAGAGAATTTAAGACATTAATAATTGAGCTATTTATCAGTGGTCTTGTGTTTGAACACACGGTCTATTCATTGGCTGCCTTTTCTTCGTCAACTACAAACATTTTAGCTTTGAAGGTACTATGACTAATTACTGTTACAATTTCTATCTATTGTAACCAGGTACCTTTAGCTCACTTCCTCTTCCAACTGAAGGAGGAGGATTCAGCTGGTAAAATGGCAAAATCCTGTTCTTTCTGTTGCTCGCTCTGGTATCTTTAGTGCACCCTTTGGAAAACATTCACTGGAAATGT